TGATACATAAAGCTAAAGAATCCATTGAAAATTATTAAAACTAATAAATTTAATAGGTTGCTTGATATAAGGTAAATATACAAAATCAATATATATACACTAGAAATAATCTGAAAATTAAAATTTAAAAATTTCACTTATAATAGCATCAAAAAGAATAAAATATTTTGGAATAAATTTGGAAAAGTAGTGCAAAGCTTGATCTCTGAAAATTGTATAACATTATTGAAAGAAATGAAAGAATGCCCAAATAAATGGAAATACATCTCATGTTCATTGATTGGAAGACTGGATGTTGTTAATATAGCATATTCCCCAAATTGCTTCAATGCAATTTTTATCAAAATCCCAGCTGCTTTATTTTATTTTGTCTTTTATTTTGTCCTCTCTGCTCTTCTCCTCTCCTCCCCTCCCCTCCCTCTTCTCTCTTCTCTCTCCTCTCTCCTCTCCTCTCCTCTCTCCTTCCTCCCTCCCTCCTTCTCTTTTCTTCCTTTTTTTTCTTTGATGGAGTCTTGCTCTGTCACTCAGGCTGGAGTACAGTGGCGCCGTCTTGTTTCACTGCAACCTCTGTCTCTCAGGTTCAAGTGATTCTCCTGCCTCAGCCTCCCGAGTAGCTGGAAGGCACCTTCCACCACGCCTGGCTAATTTTTGTGTTTTCAGTAGATACAGGGTTTTGCCATGCTGGCCTGGCTGGTCTTGAACTCCTGACCTCAGGTGATCCTCCTGCCTCAGCCTCCCAAAGTGCTGGGAGTATAGGCGTAAGCCACTGTGCCCCGCTTGCTTCCTCCCTTCTTCCCTCCCTTCCTTTTTGGAGATGCAAGAGATCTAGGTAGTAAGAAAAAAATCTTGAGAAAGAACACAGTTGAAGGACTCAGACTTCCCAAAACTGAATACAAAGTTACAGTAATCAAGACACGTGATACTGGCATAAGGAAAGACATGTAAGTCAATGGAATAGAACTAAGAGTTGAAAATACATTCTCACATTTATGGTCAATTGATTTTTGACAAGAATGCCAAGATAATCAAATGGAGGGAAATAATATTCTTTTTGAAACATGCCCTCCTGGGACAATAGGGGAAACTTTATTAGAAGAATGAAGTTAGACTCCTACCTCCTAACACACAAATTAACTCCAAATGGATCATAGACCTAAATGTAAGAGCTAAAAGTATAAGACTTAGAAGAAAATAGATGAAAAATATTTGTGACCTTAAATTAGACAGTGTATCTTAGGTATCACCAAAAATAAGCTACGAAAGAGAAAAACAGATAAATTAGACTGTCAAAATTAAAAACTTTAGGGCTGCAAAGGATATCATCAAGAAAGTGAAAAGATAACCTTAGAGAAAATACTTGCAAATCATATATCTGATAAGGGACTGGTATCCAGAATATATGAAGAACTCTTACAACTTGATAAAAAAGACAAATTAATTAAAATATGGTAAAGGACTAATAAGCATATTAAATGATGCTGAACATCATTAGCTCTCAGGGAAATGCATATCAAAACTAATGAGATCCCACTTTACACTCTCCAGGATAACTATAGATAATTGCAATGGTTGTCTGGTTGTCTGGGATGTGGGCAAACTGGGACTCTTACACATTGCTTGATAGAATGTAGAAAGCTGGCTGGGTGCGGTGGCTCATGCCTGTAATCCCAGCACTCTGGGAGGCCCAGGCGGGAGGATCACCTGAGGGGTCAGGAATTCAAGACCAGCCTGGCTATCATGGTGAAAGCCTTGTCTACTAAAATTACAAAAATCAGCTGGGCATGGTGGCAGATGCCTGTAATCCCAGCTACTCAGGTGGCTGAGGCAGGAGAATCGCTTGAACTCGGGAGGCAGAGATTGCAGTGAGCTGAGATCGAACCATTGCATTCTAGCCTGGGCAACAACAGCGAAACTCTGTCTCAAGGAAAAAAAAATGTAGAAAGCTGCAGTCGCTTTGGAAAACAGTCTGGCAGTTCCTCAAAAAGTTAATATAATATATAATATGTAAGACTTTTAGAATAAAATAAAGGAAAAATATTTGTAACCCTAAATTAGACCTTAAATTGGTGTATCTTAGATGTGACACCAAAAACAAGCTACAAAAGAAAAACCAGATAATATAAGTGTAGAGTTACCATATGACCTAACAGGTCCACTTCCAAGTGTATACCCAAGGGAAATGAAAACATACGTCCACATAAAATCTTGTACATGAATATTTATAGTAGCATTATTTATAATACAAAAGTGGGAACAGCCCGAATGTCTGTCAACTTCCAAATGGTTAAAGTATGGTTTGGTGATACAGTAAAATGTTATTTAATAATAAAAAGAAATAAAGTACTGGTGCATGCAACATGGATGAACCTTGAAAATACTATGTTAAGTGAAAGAAGCCAACCACAAAATACCACACATTGGGTGATTACAGTTAAATGACATGTCCAGAGTGTCCATAATATACTTTCTACAGAGATAGAAAGTAGATTAGTGGTTTCCTGAGGCTGGGGGAGGGAGTTGGGGGAATTGGGTAGTGACTACTGGGTAGAGTTTCTTTCTGGGGTGATGAAATGGTCTAAAATAGAATGTGGTGATCGTTTCACAACTCTGAATATACTAAAAGCCATTGAATGAGCATTTTAAATTGGTAAATTATATGTGAATTATGTTCTGATAAAGTTGTGTTTAGGTGTCTGTAAAAATGATGGCGCAAATACTCTTTTACAAATCTTTTTTTTTTTTTTTTTGAGACGGAGTTTCGCTCTTGTTACCCAGGCTGGAGTGCAATGGCCAATCTCGGCTCACCGCAACCTCCGCCTCCTGGGTTCAAGCAATTCTCCCGCCTCAGCCTCCTGAGTAGCTGGGATTACAGGCACGCGCCACCGTGCCCAGCTAAGTTTTTGTATTTTTAGTAGAGACGGGGTTTCATCATGTTGACCAGATGGTCTCGATCTCTTGACCTCGTGATCCACCTGCCTTGGCCTCCCAAAGTGCTGGGATTACAGGCGTGAGCCACCGCGCCTGGCCCTACAAATTTTTTTACTTGTTGTTCATGGTTGTTTATTTGCACATCTAGTGATTTGTCCCAAGGAAAGAGCACGTAAAAGAACATAAGCCATTTTAAAGCCTTGAATGTATACAACAAAATTACACTCCACAAGTTTTATACAATTGTGCGTTTCATTGGCCTGTTCTGTTTTATCCTTGACTACCTAAATCATTTATTAGTGGTATTCGTCTGAGGGTCCTCTGAGTCTGACGAGTGCCTTTCTTACAGAAGGTGTTCAATAAATACATGCTCTAAGTGAGGAAAACATTTTTGGTTGATTTTTAGGTGCAGATGGTTTCTTTTGATTTTAATTAAGATGCCTTTGTTTATTAGTGATATTGACATCTTCTCTTATTTTATTGGCTTTGTATAACTTTGTGAATTGTCTTTTCATGTCCTTTGTCTACTTTTCTGTTGTGGTAACTATCTTCTAAAAATGTTGTATAATTATTTAAAAATATGTTAGGCTGGGTATGGTGGATCATGTTTGTAATCCCAGCCCTTTGGGAGGCCAAGGTGGGAGATCGCTTGAGCCTAAGAGTTTGAGACCAGCCTGGGCAATATAGTGAGACCCCATCTCTAAAAAAATTAAATAACATAAAAATATATATTTTTATTTTTATTTTTTTTGAGACAGAGTCTCATTCTGTCACCAGGCGCCAGGCTGGAGTGCAGTGGTGTGATCTCTACTCATTGCAACCTCCGCCTCCCGGGTTCAAGCAATTCTCCTGCCTCAGCCTCCCAAGCAGCTGGGACTACAGACATGCGCCACCACGTCTGTTTTTTTTAATTTTAGTAGAGACGGGGTTTCACTATGTTGGCCAGGATGGTCTTGATCTCTTGACCTTGTGATCCGCCCACCTCGGCCTTCCAAAGTGCTGGGATTACAGGAGTGAGCCACTGCGCCTGGCATAAAAATATATTAAAAGATTAACTCATTGTCTATCATATGTATTACGACTATCCCCCCACTTGCCATTTGTTTGTTAATTTTATTTACGATGATTTAAAAATTATATTTTTGGGTGACCAATTCAGGTTTTATTCCCATTGTAATATTTTCCTTTGCTTGTCTGTCACTTTCTTAGAGATAAGATAAACATTGATTTATTCTTTTATAGGTATTCTATGATTTCATTGAAAATACAATCTTCAGTGCGCCTAGTATTCATGTGTAAGATGAAAGATAACTTAGATTTCTCTTATAGTTCATCAGGTATCCCACTACCGTTTATTGAGTCATGTTTTCTATTACCACTCTTAGTAAATTCTGAAATTCTGAAATTTCACATGCATTCGGCTTGGTTTCTGAGTTTTCTGTTGTCTTCCATTGCTTTGTTTAAAGCATGTATTATTCTGACTTTCCATAGTTGAATATGGCTGAACAAGTCCCCCTTTGTTAATCTTGTTTTCTTTAAAAATGGTCATTTTTACTCATTTTCCAGTTAAGTAGTTTTACCCTCTCATAGTGAACGTGATTTAACACCCCATTGCTCACCCTATTCCTCTCCCAACGCCCAAATGAAAAACTTTAGAAGACTTAGGCTCTTGCCCCGGCCCCATCATTTTCTGGCTATGTGGGCTTAGGCTAGTTATTGAACATGTCTGACTCTCACTTTCCTCCTCTGTAAGTCAGCGAGAATCACATACTTCCTATAAGGTTGAGAGGTTCAAATGGAATAATCTGTATGGAGACACTTGGTAAACAATGTAGTAATATGCAAGTGCTTTTATGGTTTTACCTAAGGGGCCAGTGAGGCCCAGAGAAGTGCTGGGACCTAGGTAAGGTCACAAGCAAGTTCATGTGGAATGTATTAAGATTTAGAACCCTAGCCCATGTCCCAGGGCCCTTCCAGTTGGGCTCTGCTGCCTGCAGTCCTGGGTATGTTCTGATTATTCTGGGTGTGTAGTGGTCTTGGTGTAAGTATTTCTCCTGTACTGTCCCCTATAGGTTGTGGCTGGTCATACCATTTCCCTGGTTCCCCCAATGCTCCTGATTACCTGGAAGGGCCATTTGGATAGTGTGGCAGACATCCTGTATGTGGATGACTTCCAGCTGGTTATCAGCGCTGGCCAGGACCGGGATGTCAAGGCTTGGAAGCTCTCCGGTGATGCCATTGGTATGGATCCTGCTGAAGCTCAGTGATGCCCAAGGCCCTTCTTGTCTCTGTCCCTGTCCGAACATAAGCTGGCATGAACTTTGTGCTCTGTGGGGAGGGAGTTTGAGGCCACAGCAACTGCTTTTGCTTAAATATTACTGTCTGCCCAATTGTCCATTCAGCAAACTGTCCTTCCATCCGTTCACCCATCCACCCAATATTATTCACCTATGTATATTTTTGCAAATCATATATATGATAAGGCATATTCCTTTCTCTTTAAAAAAATAAACTTGTTGCATTATATGTAAAGAGAACCATATAAACCAGAAGGGTTAAGCTTCTTGAATTTTGAGAAAGTAAACACATACCCATATTAGTCACCATTCATATCAAGAAATAATTAGGGCCAGGCGTGGTGTCTCATTCCTGTAATCCCAGCACTTTGGGAGGCTCAGGTAGGAGGATCACCTGAGGTCAAGAGTTTGAGACCAGTCTGGCCAACATGCTTAAACCCCGTCTTTACTTTCTCATCTTGCAGTACCGTAACTATGACTATACCCATTGAGCAGCAACTCTAGATTCCCCCTCTCCCAGCCCCCAGCAACCCCCATTCAACTTGCTGTTTCTATGAATTTGACTACTTTAGCTCCAATGTCTGAATCATCTGGAAGGTCTACTTCTAATGCCTATTTCTTCTCTTGATTATTTGTTATATATGCCTGCCTTTTCACATGTCATATATGCAAAAGAACCTCCAAAAACCAAAAATTTCCTGGGCTTTGTATAAATGAACTGTAAAGACTTTAGTTGATAGTTTCCCCCTAGAGCATTTTACTCTTTCCTCTGTATAGGGCTGAGCATCTCCAACCAGTTGGGGATTGAATTGAGTTGGGGCTGGAGAGCAGCTTTAGGAGGACTGTTTGCCTCTGTCTTCTGCTGTCTCAAGGTTGAAATCTGTGTCTGTTTCAGTGGGACTCTCTCCCAATGATCTCATTCTGCTTTTCTCTACCAGCACCTACAACCCCAGCTCCCCAGTGCTCAGCAAATGTCCTAACAGGAAAAACAGCTGTGCATTCAGGACTCCACTAGACTTCATTCATCATGCCAGCCACAGTGGATATGAGAAGCTCTGCTGTTTTCTCTATGTCTAAGCCAATTCTGATTCTCACTCAGCCTGTGTGTAGACTTGGAAATGTTCCCTAGATGAGAAGGCAGCTCCCACTGCCAGCTTTTTTTTGGAAAGACTTGTCCCTTTCTGTCATCTTAGTTCACCTGGCTCCCTTTGCTTCTACTGCTTTCCAGTGATTTTTAAAAAAATGATTTTGTTACCTATCTGTTTTAATTTTCTTAACTTTAAAAATCCTGCAGCAGGAGACTGGCTTGCTACTCACTATTCTCCGCTCAGGAGCAGAACTTAAGTTTTTCTGTTTTCAATACCTGCTTTTTTACTCCAGCCCCATTCCTGCCTCCACCACCCTAAATCTCACATCTGATGGGTGTCTGAGCACTTTATGCCACTGTCATTTACACACAAGCTACCTGAAGCTCAGCTGGGGGTCATTCAGTCATTGCCATAGGACTTTCCCCTTCTCAGCCCGCATGTGGGGCAGGATGCTTTCGGCTTGAGCTCCGAGTGTATCCTAGGGCTTCTGTCTGGCTCGTCCAGATATTTGTTGTATACTCAGTGTTGTGCCTGGCATATGGTGGGCACTCAACATTTGGGCAAGTGTGGGGCCTGAGGGTAGGGGTTGCTAGCTGACCCTTGAGGGGAGAGGGTAAGGGGCAGAGGGCTTGGAGGAGGGGGTTATGTCAGTGGTCGTTCTGAGCAGCATCTGGTCAAATCACAGGAACGTTTGGCCTGAGCATGTGGAAAAGACTACAGGATGCCCATGATGGTCTTCATGAACACAGAGCGGGCTTAGAGGAGGAGGGCAGAGCTGGCACCTCCTGGAAGGCCTCCCATCTGGAGCTGCAGTGAGTGAGCACAGCTTGCCTGGTCTTCCCTGGCTTGAGGAGGGAGAGGTTGTGAGTCTTCCCAGGTCTCGGGAAGCCTTTACCTGGGTCGGGTAGAGCTAGGCATGGGTAGGGAGGGCCCTCGGAAGGCCAGAGGTTTGAGGGTTGCAGGCAACTCTACTCCACAAGTGACAGCTATGGGGGGAAAGCCCAGGCCCCATTTTAGCCCAGCTCAGCTGAAAGTTTGAGCAGTGAAAGGGCAAAATACAAAAACCCAAGAGCTTGTGTGGGGCCCTGTGCCCGAGCCAGGCCCAGGTTTGCTAGAGCTGGCTTCCCTGCAGAGATCATTGCTTGTAGCCAGATGTCTCTGGAAGAGGAGTGCTCAGGCCCAAGCCCAAGGCCCTGATCCTGAGCAGACATTTGTGTTACTTCCCTGATTTGCAGGGCACAGCAAACTGCTGGCTGCTTGTTCCTCCCCCTGCAGGTGCATCCCCTACCCACTTTGTCCACTCCATCCTTATTCCTGACCAAGTCTCCAGTAATTCAAGTTCATTCAAGAACCTATGTATTGAGATCCTACTGACTGCCAGACCTTGTGCTAGGTTCTAGAGATACAAGACATCCAGACCCAGGTCCTGCCTCAGAGAACTCACAGTTTACTCAGGGAGGTGGACATGCAGACTCATGGCCGTAGCTTTATGTGATAAGTAGTGAGAGGATTAGGAACAGGGATAGCTCAGAGGACCATCCACATGGTTGACTGGATCAAGTAAGGAAGGCTTCACAGGAGAGGCGATGTTGGAGTTGGGTTTTGACATTTAAGTAGGAGTTTGTCAGGCACCCACAAAATCTTTGGCTCCTGTGCTTCCATCAAGGCGTATATGTTGACAGTCCTGTGGAGGGAGATCAAACAAGGCAAAGGCAGGGTTTCCCTGGGGCAGGGGCAGGCATGTTTAAATAGTCCACAAGGGGAGGTCCAGATAAAGCCAGATGGGGTGTCGGGTCTGCATGGTGGAGAGGATAGAGTGGTGGGAGAGTGGCAGGACCTGCTGGGCCAGCTGGATCCAGGCTTTGCAAATGTTAATTCCACACATGTTCACTGATGAGTTCTGGGGAGTTTGGCCTGGGAGGAGGGATGGAAGATTGGAGAGGATCAGGCCCAGGAACGGGAGGGCCTTTCAGGGTTTCTGGGAGGGTTGCCCTGCCTTGTGGTGGGGGGATATCTTGTGAAGGAAAGGCCCCCACACTAGGGAGCAGCGGGATCTGGCCAAGGCCCTGATATACCAGCGGCGAGAGCAGGCGGCGCTGATGGCCCTCCTGCATGGGAAGGCAGATAAGGAGGCTGACGCTTGGGCCAAGCTGCAGAAGATGGCCCTGGTGTCCCCATGGGCCGGAGAACGCCCCTTGGAAGACATTGAGGACAGCTGGAGCAAGTGGGAGTCCAGGGACAAGCAGGTGAGGCTGGGAGGGGAGGGGTGCATGGGGAGGGATGCAGGGACCCCCAACTCTCAGGCTTCACTCTCGGCATGGCTTCTGCAGGTGAGCACAGTCCTGGGAGCGGCGTATAAGCCCAAGGAACGCGTGCGGAATACCAGGTTCCTGTCCAGCAGTGTGCGGTACAGCTGGATGAAGCAGCAGGTGAGGCGGGATGGGGCAGCTCCCCAGCAGGCTGGACTGGGTGCCAGGGGGTCCCGTTTTCACCAGCAGCCACCTTTGTCCCCACACGGCCCTTCAGTGGGGGTGGACAGGAACCTTTACCCTTTAACAGGATTCTGGGCCATGGACAGGTCTCGGTTGAGTCTGATACGATTTGTTTGCCTAGGCCCTGGCTGAGGTCATTGGGGCAGCTTTTGTCCTTGAGGACAAACCTCAAGAGCCTGTGGGACAACGTCTTCCCTGGGGTAGCCCCTGTCTATAGGCTCCCAAGCATTTTCCATGGTTTGCTGGTTAGCATATTTCCCACCCATGTCCCTGCTACCATGGTGCTCAGCAGCAGACCAGGGCATCGTGCCAGGCACATAGTGAGAGACAGGGTAAGTAGAAGGAGTGGCTCTCCATCAGGGACAGAAAGGAGCAGGGGATGTTGGAAAGAGCAGATCTGAGCTCCATCCTGCCCTTTCCTGGGCAGATCCCAGCCTCTCCCAGCTCCCCTTCCTTGTCTGCTGTGGGAGTGCTGTGGGAGCTCCCTCCTCTGTGAGGTTCCCTTGGGAATAAATGAGATGACACTGAAGACCAGATGACCTGCAGGGCCTCCCTGTCCGGGCTGGGGAGAGGCTGGCATGACATGGATTGCTCCCAGGAGCTCTTTGCACTGGGGCCTCATCCAGGGTCCCAGCTGGAGGCCTCATGCTCAGAAGTGGGCAGTCTGCGTGCCCAGCTCACAGGATGGCACCATAACTGGGTCGAAAGCAGGGCTGGGCACCCGGCCTGGTGCTGGGTGGGTGCATGAGCCCACAGACCATAGTTAGTGGCAGCCACAATCCTCTGGACACGTCTTTTTGGCCTGGGAAGACCTCAGGGTGCCTCCTTCCTGAGAGCCTGCTCTTGGCCCTGGATGTCCCCGCTCCCCGCTCTGTCTCCTGCAGATCTCGCCCCAGGTTTACCGAAGCCTGCACTTCAGCGAGCTGACGCCCACTCAGCAGCCCGACTTCCTGACCGGCAGGGGCCCCGACCAGCAGGACCGGCATGTCCGCCTGGTGGTCCGTGACGTCCAGAAGGACCTGGTGCCCAGCAGGGAGCAGGCAGCGCTGGATACCATGGCCAGCACGCCCGTGGCTACCTCCTTGTTATCTGTGTCTGCCTCAGCCTCCAGGCTGCCGGACTCCAGCTTGCCCACCTTCCTGAGGCCCCAGTTCTCCGTGCCGCAGCCCCAGTCGGCCTCCATGGCCCATTCCACCCCCTTGGTCCCCTCCCCGGTATCTGAGTCCACCCTGCAGAGGTCAGCGACCCCCAAGCTCATGGTCTCCTCCTTTGAGCAGCCCCCAAGGCCTCTGAAGCCCACCTCCATGCCCTCTGTGAAGGGAGGCTCCCACGTCAGGTTCTGAGGTGCCCACGCTCTTCTCTAGTCCTCCAGCAGGGCAGCTGCACCCATGGTGAGCCTGGGTGTCCCTGGCTTCTTCCCTCCCAGACCCTTCCCCTGGCCACCCAACTCGGCCTCTCTGGGGAAGTCCACCTGTCTCCTGACCTTGTCTTCTCTTTGGCCCCCACAAGAGAATCTGGAGCAGAAAATAAATGTTCTCAGCTGTGGGCGTCCACAGTAATGAGGCTGGGCTGTGTGTGTGTGTGTGTGTTCCTGGCCCCCTTCGGTCCCTCCTTATCTGAGATCAGTCACATCCCCTGGCAAGGCCCTGGGCACAGGCAGAGAGGACACCTGGGTGTGGCTGTTTGGCTTGGAAACTTGGTTCAGCCTCATGGTAAGAGTGAGGCCTGCAGCCATCTGGTGGGGGTTGTGGCTGTCCGTCTGCCCCTGCTGCCTGTCAGCCTCCCTCATCAGCAAACACTCCCTGCCCAGCACCCTGTTCTGTCCCGTGTGCAGAGAGGCCTGGAAGTGTGGTGGGCGGCCCCCCTCCTGGCTCTGCTGCTGTCTGGCTCTGGAGTCCCACGTGTCCTTCCCCTGTGGCCCGGAGGCACCTGTCCAGACCTCTGCTGGGCCCTCAGCCCTCTCGGCAGCTCAAGATCCTGTTCTGAGGCATGTGGGGCCTTCTGGACACTTCACCTGCAGCTGGAAGGGAGCAGGGACAGCCCACTGCTGCTGAGCAAGGGGTAGGTCGGCTATAGGCTGGGCAGGAGGGTCAGTGGAGAGATCTGAGGCTCAGCCCGGAGGGGTGTGTGTGTAGCTCCTCCTCTCTGCCCCCTTCCGTCTCCCTTTACACTTCTCAGGGGTGGAAGGATGGGCTCCCCATCACCACTATGCTGGGAGTTTTTTTTTTTTTGACACACAGTCTCACTCTTACCCAGGCTGGAGTGCAGTGGCATGATCTTGGCTCATTGCAATCTCCGCCTCCCTGGTTCAAGAGATTCTCCTGTCTCAGCCTTCTGAATAGCTGGGACTACAGGCATGCACTGCCATGCCCGGCTACTTTTTGTATTTTTAGTAGAGACGGGGTTTCGTCATGTTGGCCAGGCTGGTCTCAAACTCCTGACCTCAGGTGATCTGCCCGCCTTGGCCTCCCAAAGTGCTGAGATGACAGGCACGAGTCACTGCACCCGACTGCAGTGACTTCTCAGAAGGACGCCAGGCCTGTTGCATCGGGGGCCCGCCCTACTCTGGTCTGACTTCATCTTAAGTGATGACTTCTGCAACGACCCTGTCTCCAAATCAGGCCACGTTTTGGGGCACTGGGCCTGAGGGCTTCAGTGTATCTTCTTGGAGGATACAGGTCAACCATAACAGCCCTCTAGGTGGGGGAGCAGAAGAGACTATGGCTACACTGAAGATTTTCCCAGTTTCTTTTTTTTTTTTTTTTGAAATGGGGTCTCACTCTGTTGCCCAGGCTGGAGTGCAGTGGCATAATCTTGGCTCACTGCAACCTCTACTTCCCGGGTTCAAGAGATTCTCCTGACTCAGCCTCCAGAGTAGCTGGGGTTATAGGTGCCCGCCACCACGTCCAGCTAATTTTTGAATTTTTAGTAGAGATAGGGTTTCACCATGTTGACCAGGCTGGTCTCGAACCCCTGACCTTAGGTGATCCACCCGCCTCAGCTTCCCAAAGTGTGAGCCACCAGGCCCGGCCACTTTTCCTAGTTTCTAGAGCTGTCAGCTTTGTAGCCGACACCCTCTTCTTCAATCCCAGTTGTTCTCCCAGAAAACTTCAGCGAGAGTCCCACAAACCAGTGATTAACTCTAAGTTACCCACCGCCTCCCTACTGACCCAGGGACTGGCGTTTCTGAGCCAGGTACGGAGCAGGGGTGGCTGTGCTGGATTCCTCTCTTCCATCCTCAGTGGATTTCCCTTGTTGATTTATCCCAGAAGGAGTGGTCTGGAACTCTTTTTCCCTTCTGCAAAAGGATGGAATTTCCAGCATTCCCTCTTTCCCAAAGTTGAAGCAAGTGACAGACAAGCTTTATTAGATGTTCCAAGTGTCAGGCCCTGAACCAGATGCTAAAGGTGCATTTAATCCTCACAGCATTCCGCAAGGTGGGTGCCAGTGTTACCTCATTTTGCAGAGAAAGAAACAGAGGCTCAGAGAGGTGAAGTCGCTTGCCCACGATCATGCCAGGAAGTGGGGGAGTTGGTGTTTGAACGCTGGCCAGGCTCAGCTGCTCTGAGTGTAACTGCTGGCTGTCCCAGAGAACATACCCCCACAAAGCTATGTCCAGTGGAGTTGGCTCTGGGGCCTGTCCTGGGCTCTGGCCTTATTCCCTGGGGAGTAAGGACCCCTGGTCCCTCCTGACCTGCCCTGGTGTCTGTCCAGCTTAGCCCAGCACGTGAAGGGCTTGGTGACCTTGGCCACCACTCGAGGCGGGAGGGAAGTGTCCCTGCCAAAGCTCATTGGCTGATCCCAGAAATCAGCGTCAGTTAACCAAGGCGCCCAGTCCTGGCTGCCAGCACCTTGTCCTGCCCCTCCAACGCTGAGCCTGCGTGTATTTGCAGATTTGGAAAGTGGGCAGGGGTGTAGCTGGGATTGGAAAGGAAAGGCAGGACAGGCAGGGCCTGGGGCAGCCGTGGGTCTCGAGGGGGATAAGCGAGATGCTTCTCACCAGTCCAGACTCTATTTCCAAAACCCTCTCCTGCCCATGAGCTCATTTGAGCTGGACAACCATCTTCTTAGGCCTTTGCCCCACTTTACAACAAGGCAAACTGAGGCTCAGGGAGGAGTAAGGTTTCACAGCTAGAAACTGATAGAGCTTGGATTCGCACCCAGGGTTTTCTGAGCCAAAGTCCTCGAATCCTTTTGTTAAGGGGTCATGGCCACAGCCTGGCAGCTCAAAGGTGGGAGTCCTTCCACCAGGAGATGGACCATGTGGGCACTGAGGGTCATGTGGGGACAGCTTTGTCCTCAGAAAGAAGCCATTCTCGACCTCATTTTTGGGTACCACTTCCAAATTTCACACGTGCTCAACTCTTAAATCTACTGTGTGCGGGTCACTGGGGACACCAAAGTGAGAGAGACCCCAGCCTTTCCTGTTGTGAAAAAGATGCCACCCTTTCCTGCTGAGACAGAATTATTCCTCTATAGGGTGGATGCAGCTCTTGTTAGCTCATCCAGCAGATTGTCTGTCCTGAACGCATACCCACTCCTCTGTGCCAGCCAGGCAGATCTCACAGGAGAATGGGCAGATGTGGGAGAAGCAATCCAAGAAGGCTTCCTGGAGGAGGGGGTTGATAAGCCCAGAGCCAACCAGGACCTTTGTGTTTGCTGTTCTCTGCCCAAGAAGGCCTTTCCCCAGATCGAATGGCTTCTCCTTCAGGGTCTGCTCAGATATCCCCTCAAATACCCTGCCACCCCTGACCTATTTTATCCTCTGATTAGCCCTGACCTTGGATAGGATGGGGGTAGGGGAGGAAAGGTGGCTCATGAAGGTGCCTGGGCCCACTGGAAGTGCTCACCAGTTGCTGACAGTCCACAGGGTAGGTTGGCTAGAAGCCTGGCATTGCCTTTTCCCCACAGACAGCAGTGGGAAGGCAGGGGTGGCGGCTGACTCAGCCATGGCCCTGACTCCTGGCAGCCTCCCGGCCATGTGTGTCAAACTCGCCTGGCCTGTGGGGCCTCAGTTTTCCTAGATGTGAAATGGCAGCATCTGCCTCTCCAAAGGCTTTTCCTACCTCTCATCAACCAGATGAGGCCAATGGAGTAGGAGGCAGTGTGCCCATTTTGTAGATGGGGAAACTGAGGCCCAGAGAGGGCCCTGGCTGGACCCCAGGCCTTCCACTTCTCAACCCTTGCTTTTCTCCCGGCCCACTTGTGGACGAGCCACCACATTCTTGTCCAGGGAATGCTGCTGCTGTGCTTGTGACCCTGGCCCCAGCCTCAGCGAGGACCTCAGGGAGTGTCCCCTGGAGACTTGGGACAGGGCAGGCCTGACAGTACCCTGCCCATCCACAGTGGGCCTCATGCTGCAAATGAACGTCCTTATTTGCTCCAGTTCCCGGAGTCTGAACCTGTGCAGTCTCCCCCGCTGGCAGTTCCTGGTGTCAAGAGCCCGCCTGTTCACTCATCTGGCTTCTGTTTATGGGACGGCTCTTGGGTGACAGGCTCCATTCTAGGCTCTGGGGGACCTAGTGGGGGGTAAGACCAACATGGAGCCTGCTCTCAAGGGCCCCACATGCAGCAACCAAGGAGAATGATCAGAACAACCAAATGCCATCTGACCCGCGCTGTGAAACAAATCCTGAAGGCTTGAAGAAGGGAACTAAGGAATAGCAATAACGGAAAAACGAAACCTTATGATTTACAGTTGCTATGTAATAAAGTACATTTTGCTGTGTTGTGTGCTGTTTGATATAAAACCTAACCTCCAGCTCTGCTTAAAATGAACTCATTCCCTGTGAAACCACCTTCTCTATTCTCCCCACATTCTCAGCAAAGCTCCCAGGCATCTCAAGACTCCAGTTTCTCTTGCTGACCAGCTGCAAGGTCACAGGGCAAGAATACACCCAAAGAATGTACAATGCGTTTCTCAAAATGCTATTTTCAAATGTAATGCACATCACAAGAAATGTTACAAATTAATTAACTGTCCTTTGTTCCGGCTTCTGTAAACCTGTTAGCTGCTACATCATATTGAATGTATACAAGTACCTCATTTTCTTTCTCCAGGGCTCAGACTTGGGATGCTAATTCGCTGAGCTGGTGGCCACCTTAATAAAATCCTCCTGTTTCACCCATGGGTCTCTCCGGTCTCCTGGATATTCTGTAACAGGCCTTGGGTAGGCGGTGGATGGGGTGGTAAGTGACAGAGCAGCGCTACAGGAGCCGGCTTGGGGAGTGTTTGGGGAAGGGGTGCAGCTGGGAAAGGCTTTGACTTGGGTATTTGCGGGACAGCAAGGTGGCCGGGGCTGAGCGAGCCAGGTGTGGTGGTGGAGATGAGGCCAGCCTTGCAGATCAGGAAAAGGAGTCTGGGTTTACTGCATGGGAGGAGGAAGCCATTGTAGGATTCAAAGTCAAGGAGAGATGGGGTCTGATTGGAGCGGGGCCAGTGAGCAAGGAAGGATGGTGGAGCTGGGTGCAGAGGAAAGGCAGTGGGATTCAGGACGTGCTCAGGAGGTCGAGGCAGCAGGATGTGCCCATGGATGGTAGCGGAAGTGTGGGGAATGAAGGCGT